AATGTCTGTCTACTGATAAGTGGATAAATAAAATGTGATATATCCATACAATAGAATATTATTTGGCAATAAAAGCAAATGAAGCACTGATACGTGCTACAAATTTGGATGAACCTTGAAAACATTATGCAATGTGAGAGAAGCCAGTCACAAAAGACCACATATTATATGATTCCATTTCTAAGAAATGTCTAGGATAGGCAAATACATAAAGACAGACATAGGTTAGTGGTTACTCAGGGCAGGTGAAGATGGAATGGAGATTGACTGTTAATGTGTACAGGGTTTCTTTTAGTGTGGACAAAGTGTGGTAATTGCACAACTCTGTGAATATATTAAAACCATTGATTTTTACTCTTTAAATGAGTAAATTTTATGGTATGTGAATTATATCTCAATAAAACTGTTAAACAAAATCAACTTCCCTATACTATTATATGGAAGAGGGAAGTCCTTGAAAAGATGAGGAGGGATGGGACCCAGAATACAAGTGGAAGAACTGGCCTTTCAAAGAGGACTGATATTTCCATTGTGGTACATTTATAGATGTAGTGGTAACAGGGCGGGCTTTGCATTTAGAAGGACCCCACCCTTCATTTAATGCTCAGCTGTCACCATCTTGACATTTTTAATAGTTTTTTTAACAAGGGACCCCACATTTTCATCTTACACGGAGCCCCCAAAATTATGAGTCCTGAGTGGTGGCATCCTGTTTGATATCTTCTATTGTTGCAGGAAATGTGAGGTAAGGCTGTCAGCTGAGAATGGTAGAGGGAAGGAAGCCAGAGGTTTAAGGAAAATGGGGTGAGTATGAACTAGTCATGAGAAGTCAGAGAAGTGTAGAAGAGTTTCCAGTCTATGGCTACTCTTTATGAGTTTGTGGTGACTTTGGTGTGCCAGGTGGTACAATTTTCCCCAGCATTCAGTTGTACTGGAAGTACAGAGGATATTGATGTCAGGGTTCATCTAGGGATGGGGATTTTTCAGGTATCTGTGATAGAAGGAGAAAGGGATAAGAAAGTAATTATAATGATGGATGGTGGTAGATAAGGAAGGAATAACACAGGAGAAGGATAATGGATGAAGACAAAATGGTATGATCAGTGAATTGGAGATTTCAATGAGGGAGGAGTTTATTTCAGGAAGATAATTGAGCAGGGGTTGAAGGATATAAGAAGCTATTTGAATTGATGATTCTGTAGTTTTTGTTGATGGTAAGGCTAAGTTTGATCATGGAGTGACTGAAATGGCATGAGGGGAAAGGGTTATTGGAAATGCAGAGGTCAAGCAACTGAGAGACCAGTTGGTTGGATGGGTTATCCTCTTGGATGATGAAATTGCTGAGAATGATGACAGGAGTGAGAGAAAAAGCTGTGTACAAAGTGTGAAATCTTCAGTAAAAAAAAAAGTCAGTAGACACCAGTAAATACCTCACTCTTTGCTCCATACTCTTCTTCTTTCCTTTATTTGGAGTATACCTTATACCTCTTCTACTTCCTCACAGCACTCAAAAAATTAACTCAAAATGGGTCAAAGACTTAACTATAAGACTATAACAACTATAATCCCGTTATCCCCAACTCAAAATCCTGTCATTCTTTCAGGACTCAACTCAAATTCCACCTCCTCAGTTATGTTGAATGTATTTAAACTTTCAGTACTACTATAAATACATCTTGAAAGCATTAGACAAGTTATATAACTTAGGACAAGCAGTCACTGAATAGCCTACAGTTTTCAATGCAGGGTTTAGTTGGTAAAGCAACACACTTTCTTATAGTTGCAGCTTCCTGTTGTCATAGAGAGGACTTTTGGTTTCTTGAATGAAGATTATTGCATGATAAAGACATCTACATAAATATATTTAATGTTTTCTCTAAAATTTATAATATTGATAGATAGATCTCATTATCATTTGTTTTCTTTTCTTTCTTGCTTTTTTTTTTGAGGAAGATTGGCCCTGAGCTAACATCTGTTGCCAATTTTCGTCCTTTTCTTTTTTTCTCCCCAAAGCCCCAGTACACAGTTGCATATCCTAGTTGTAGGTCCTTCTAGTTCTTCTATGTGGGACGCGGCCTCAGCATGGCTCGATGAGCTGTGAGTAGGTCCGCACCCAGGATCTGAACTGGCGAACCCTGGGCCGCCAAAGCAGAATGCGCAAACTTAACCACTATACCACTAGGCTGGCCCCTCATTTGTTTTCTTTTCACAGAACACCGTTTGGGAGATGTTACCTTAAATGTGGCAGTGAAATTTTTTGAGCTCAGTATATTTCAAATTATTTTGTCTTTTAACAGCTATCTTCCTTAAACATATATAAAAACCTTATATTTTTTAGAAAAGAATTTATCTTTAAGTTTAAAACTGTTTTTTCAAGTTGAAGGAATGATAGATAGATAGATAGATAGATAGATAGATAGATAGATAGATAGATAGATAGACAGGCCGACAAATATAGAAAGAAAGGAAGGAAGGAGGGAGGGAGGGAAGGAGGAAGGAAGGAAGGAAGAAAAAGTAATGTATATATACATATGTCCTATTTTAATTGTAACAATTATATATGTATATTACAACAAAAATAGGACATCTGAGAAGTGCTTCAAATGCTTTTATAGCATTTGAATACTGTGAAATGTATTTCATGATTGTGAATTTGTTTCATCCTGAAAAGGGTCCTGAACCTAGAGTTACAAATTTTCAGACAAAGCTAAGCTCTCATCATCTAGAAATCAAGGTTCCATCATCTCACCAGAAGTCTGCTCTTGAAAGTAATGCAGGTAGATCAGTTACCAAAGTTCTGCTGCCTCAGTCCCTGGAACCTGCGTTGGTAAGCACTGGCCTTTTATTAACTAATTCTTGAAAAGACTATGAAAAGAAAATGTACTTATTGGGAAGATTTAGCTATGCATAATTTCTTAACAAATCTAGGAAAAAAATGCAGAAAAGCTAGATACAGCTATCTACAGGCAGATGTTTTTTAAGTGGACTGACAGTTGATAATTGTGTCACTTGGAACCACTGGGAAGCAGATATTTAGACAGAACTAAGAGTTCAAGTGGCTTATTGGAGGGGGTAATAGCTGAGAAAGGAAAGCAGAGAGAAAACAGGATTAGGCAGGAATAGCCTCAGTCCTCAATGCAGATCTGAGGAAAGCTCTCCCGGTGGGTTGGCTCAGACGTTGGCTGAGCGTTGGCTGAGCGTTGCCTGAGCGTTGCCTGAGAAGATGATGTCCTCAGCCTGAAAACTGAAGCAGATTCTAAAGATGTTGCAGCTGGGGGCTGTCAGCTAACTGCACTCCTTGCAGTGGGCCAGCTGGTTCTTGGTTGAGGGAGATCTCAGTAGAGCACCTCCATGGCCACCACAATGATAATAATAATAGCTATCATTGAATATCTCCTACTGTCTGGGCACCATAGATTCTCTTTACATGTACTATTTGTAATCCTTGCACAGCAATCCCTAGGGTATAGAATAATAGCCATTGTTCAGCTGAAAAAAATTAAAAAATTATATAACTAATAAATTAGAGAGCTGACATATTCGGGTACCAAGTAAATATACCCATGAAATATTTTGGGTAAAAATTTTCCTAATAGACTATTCCAGACTATGTTTTTTTTTTTTTTTTAAAGATTTATTTATTTTTTCCCCCCAAAGCCCCAGTAGACAGCTGTATGTCATAGCTGCACATCCCTCTAGTTGCTGTATGTGGGACTCGGCCCCAGGATGGACGGAGAAGCGGTGCCTCGGTGCGCGCCCGGGATCCGAACCCGGGCCACCAGCATCGGAGCACGCACACTTAACCACCAAGCCACAGGGCCAGCCCCCAGACTATGTTTTGAACAACTAGTTTAAAAGATTTTTAAGCCAGAAAGAAAAGAAACCTAACACAAACTTTCCTATGATATTCAAGTTTTAACTCTTGAGTTTGGGTTCCAGACTTGGCAGCATATAGTAGACACATATACAAAGAGATTTATTGGAGAGACATGGTTGTTTCATGGAATCTGAGAGTTGAAAAGGCAGAAAATTGCTAGAAATAAAGCTGCCTGTCTTCTTTCTCTCTCTTTGACTATCTCTGTCACTCTGTTTCTCTCTGCGCTGTCTCTACCTGTTTCTTTGTCTTTGCTCTCCCTAGTTTTGTCTCTCAGTCTCACGCTCTGTCTCCCTCTTTTCCCTATCTCTGTCTTAACCTCTCTCTATCTGTACTTCTCTGTCTCTGACTCGGCTTCTCTGATTGTCAATCTCTTTCTGCTCAGTCTCTGTTGGTATCTGACTTCTCCCTCCCTCTCCTCTCAATCTTCCTCTCTTTTTTTCTTTCTCTCTGTCTTTTGTCTCCCCATCCTTCCTTTCACCCCTTCTTTCCCCCCTCCTTTACTCCTTCTCCCCTCCTTCTTCTCCCTTCCCTCCCCCAGCACCTGTCAGTCTGTCCTTCCCTCTGTCTTAAACTCTTTAGCTCTCTGATCCTGTCTCTCTCTTCTTGCTCTGTCTCTCACTGTTGATTTGTCCTGTCTCTCTTTGTCTGCCTCTTTGCATCTTCAAGTATCTATATACATTTAAATGTATGTATTTTAAACCATATATATTTTAACAGCTTCAGAAATAACTTCTAATCTCTTTCCATAAAAAGTACAATAATATACTAGCAGTTAAACAAATGGTAAAAGTAAAATACCTTTATTAACAGTTAACAAAGATAATCAAAGCACCATTTCCTAATTCAAAACTTTTAATTAGCTTTCTTCCTAAGTTAATAATGATTTCAACCAAAGTATTCTCATATAGTTTTTGTGCCACATAGAGTTCTGTTGGGAGTTGTATGACCTAGCTCAATCCAGAAAATTCTTTAGTTATCTGTCTAGTGATTTAAAATTTAATTAGCAGATTAAAATTTTATTAGTATGACACATTATGATCTAATTTTAAATTGGTTTTTTACTGTATTAAAGTAGTTTATTTCTTTCTGCCATTCAATCCCCTATTTCACAAAATGTTGATAGAACACAAATTCCAGTATTCCTGATAAGAAAAGCAGAGGCCTGTTAACAAGTACTCCATCTTCACAAACAGCTGATTTCGTGGTAAGTATTAGCATTTGGCACTTGTAGTATCTGTTTTCTGGCTCCTGCTCCTCCTCTTTATTCTGCTTTTGTCACACCAGGGGAATACTGTACATAGAGAATAATGTCTGTATTTTTATTTTGCATTAACACACGTTCACTGGACAGACTCTATATACTGCTATACATGAAAGAAAGCAAGATGAGAATACTGTAGCACCAACCAAGGTTCTTCTTCTTTTGTTTTTTTCATTTTTCTTATTGTGGCAAAATGTACCATGGTAATGGTAAAATTTACCATTTTAACCATTTTTAAGTGTACAGTTCAAGTATATTCATATTGTTGTGCAACCATCGCTGCCGTCCACATCCAGAACTTTCTTCATCTTGCAAAACTGAAACTCCATACTCATTACACAATAAGCCCCCGTTCCTCCCTCTCCAGTCCCTGGCCATTCTACTTTCTGTCTCTATGAATTTGACTGCTCTGTGTACTTCATATAAGTGGAATCATACATTATTTTTCCTTTTGTGACTGGCTTATTTCACCTAGCATAATGTCTTCAAGGTTCATCCATATTGTAGCATCTTTCAAAATTTCCTTCCTTTTTTAAGGCTGAATAATATTCCATTGTATGTATTTACCACATCTTGTTTATCTGTTCTTCTCTCTGTGGACATTTGGGTTGCTTCCATATTTTGGCTATTGTGAATAATGCTGCCGTGAACATGGGTGTACAAATATCTCTTAGTGTCCCTGCTTTCAGTTCTTTTGGGTATATACTTGAAGGTGAAATTGCTGGATCATGTAGTAATTCTCATTTTAACTTTTTGAGGAACTACCATACTGTTTTCCATAGTGGCTGCACTGTTTTACATTCCCACCAACAATGCACAAGGGTTCCAATCTCTCTACATCCTTGCCAACACTTGTTATTTTCTGTTTTTTTAAATAATAGCCATCCTCGTGGGTGGGAGATGGTATCTCATTGTGGTTTTAATTTTTATTTTCCTAATGGCTCATGATGTTGAGAAGCATTTCACATACTTATTGGCCGTTTTTATATCCTCTTTTGAGAAATGTCTATTTAAGTCCTTCGCCCATTTTAAAAATTAGGTTGTTTATTTTTGTTGTTGTTGAGTTGTAGGAATTCTTTATATATTCTGGATATTAACCCCTTATCAGATATGTGGTTTGCAAATATTTTCTCCCATTCTCTCGGTTACCTTTTCATTCTGTTGATAGTATCCTTTGATGCACAAAAGTTATTAATTTTTATGTAGTCCAATTTATCTGTTTTTTCTTTTGTTGCCTGTGCTTTTGGGTGGCATATCCAAGAATTCATTGCAAAACCCAAAGTCATAAAGTTTTCCCTCTCTGTTTTCTTTTAAGTGTTTTATAATTGAGCTCTTAACAACCAGGTTCTTCTTAGGGTCAACTAAACAACAGGAATACAGCTTGCAGGCAGGTCAGAATCAGGTGTTCCCCTTCTGGGGAAGCAGTCCTCATAGAAGTCCCTTTAGCAGCTTGCATAGCAGTCTGCGGACAACTCAGGTACAAGGAGATGGCATCCAATGTCTTTTGTAGTAACATATACATAGCTTCCAAGTTCCACACAAGAGATCTGCCTAATTACAAGACTAAGGGAAACCCAAAGCATGGTGCTTTTTATAGCATCTATTTACTTATAGTGCATTTATCATTTATTTATAGTGCAGTTGTAACTTCTCTCAATCAGATACAATTTACCCATCAGACATCATTTTTACCATAAGCAATCTTGCCTAGTAATATAGTGGATGTTCTTACCTTTTTCAGGTTCCTAGAGGAATAGAGCTAGAGAGTTAACCAAAGATCAGTTTTTCAAGCTGGGTAAAAGAGTTCTGTTAACACTCTGTTCACAATCTTTTCAGTGTTCTATAAGTTAATACTTTTTCCAGAAAATAAGTGTTTGGTTTTTTATTCATTTTTGTTTAATATTTGGAGTTAAAATGTATAGATGAGGAATAAATATTTCAACATGAGATTTTTCCCCTGCAAAACTAATTTAGTAACTATTTTATAAATACTAACATCTTTTAAAAATTCCTCTATAATCCACATTTTATAAAATTCACCATGGTAGAGTGTGAATTCAGTGGTTTTTAGTATACTCAAGGTTGTGCAACGATCACTACAATGTAATTGAAGAATATTTTTTATCACCCTATTAGCAGTTACTTACCATTCCCCCCATCCCACCCTGCAGCTCCTAGACACTACTAATCTACTTTCTGTCTGTATAGGTTTGCTTATTCTGGATATTTCATATAAATGGAATCATACAATATGTGGCCTTTTATGTCTGGATACTTTCACTTACCATAATGTTTTCAAAGTTCATCTATGTTATAACATGTATTAGTATTTTGTTCCTTATTTTTGGCTGAATAATATCTCATTATAAGATTATACCACATTTTATTTACTAATTCATCGGTTTATGGGCATTTGGGTGAATAATCTTGCTATGAACGTTCATGTACAAGTTTTTGTGTGAACTGTGTTTTCAGTTTTCTAGAGTATATACCTAGAGTGGAAATACAATTGCTGGGTCACATGGTAACTGTATGTTTAACACTTTTTTGTTTAGTGGGCTTTTTAAAGACAGCTTTATTGAGGTTTAATTCACATACCATTCACCAATTTAGAGTGTAAAATTCAGTGGTTGTTAGTATATTCACAGAATTGTGCAATCATCACCACAGTCAATTTTAGAACATTTTTATCACCTCAAAAAGAAACCCTTAGCTTTTACCCCCTATTCCTCCATCCCGTTATCTAGCCCTAAGCAACCTCTCGTCTGCTTTCCATCTCTATAAATTTCCCTGTTCTTTTGTGATTACATTCTTTCACTTAGCATAGTGTTTTCAAAGTTCATCCATATTGTAGCATGTATCAGTACTTCTTTCCTTTTCATGGATCAAAAATATTTCATTGTGTTGATGGCCATTTGGGTTGTTTCCACCTTTTGGCTGTTGTGAATAATGCTGCTGTAAACATTCAGGTACAAGCTTTTGTGTGGATATATGTTTTCATTTCTCTTGAGTATATACCTAGTAGTAAAATTGCTGGGTTATGTAATAACTCTATGGTTAATTATTAGAGGAACTGCTAGATATTTTCCAATGTGATTGAACCATTTTACTCTCCCAGCAGCAGTGTATAAGTGTTCTGATTTGTCTGTAAGCTCACCAGTACTTATTATCATCCATCTTTTTGGGTATGAAGTGGTACCTCATTGTGATTTTGCACTTGAGCTTATTGGCCGTTTGTGTATCTTCTTTGGAGAAATGTCTATTCAGATCCTTTGCTCATTTTTAAATTAGGCTATTTGTCTCTTTATTGTTGAGTTGTAAGAGTTCTTTATATATTCTAGATATTAGACCTTATTCAGATATATGATTTGCAAATATTTTCCCCCGTTCTGTGGGTAAATTCTAGTATCTTTTCATAAATAAAAATACTTTTAAGAACATTTAATGTTCTTGATATTTTAAGGTCTACATTTTCTTACCAAATGAGTCTGAGACTGATTGCCCTTTGGTTCATTCCACAGCTCTCTGTGGCATGTGGATGAGGCATGTGGATCCCCCTCAATTACAAGCTGTCAGTCCTTGGCTGGATGCCCCTAAAGAAGGCTAGTTGACTCAAGGACTTTGGGGGATTTTCATTTTCCAGGGTCTCACTTTAATGTGACATTCCTAACACTGTTCCAAGATACACATGGGTAGATGTGAAGTTGTTCTGTCCTCCTAAGAGGAAGAGGAGCTAGGTAAAGGCAGACACCCACCACTCTCCACCCTGCACTGCTGATAATCATTTCTGAGCACCCATGTGTGTGGTCTAGGCTAGGTTCAGGCCAGATTTCTCTAGCCAAATCTAACTGGTCAACATCACAGAGTTTCTTGGAGTCCCAGCCTAAAGAGTATGGCTCATGAGTCTGGTTTTAAATATTTTCAGTTCAATATAGAAATATGTGTTGATGTCAGGAACTTGATAGTGATGTGGATATGATACTCAAGAAAGAGTTCTATGTTAGAGACAGAGATTTTAAAATCTCTGGTGTTCAATTGGTAGGCAAGAAGACAGCAAGGGCAGAACACTGGGGAAGGCTGACATTGAAGGGAAGAGCATGGGAAATTATTCCAGCAGGTGTGGTTTCTGGGTAGATGAATTTCATTTAGTAGGAACTTGATAAATATTAATTGGATGAATGAATAGGAAAAAATTACATGATACTGTAGTAAACAAAAATTCCTATTTAAAAAATAACTTTAAAGCTAAAGAGCATTATAATCTTCTTTATAGATTGATTTGTCCCCAGTTAAACATGCATTTTTTGAAGAATTATTTCCAAATGTTAGCAATTATGTTAATTCAGATAAAATTGTTCATATGTCAAGGTCACAAGAAAATGCTTCTAATGAGATAGTATTTCAAATTTCCTTTAATTACTTAAAAATAATTGTTTTTCCAACGTTTAACTTCTACAAAAGAGTAATGTATTCTTTTATAGATTGATTTGTCCTCAGTGCAAAAAGTATCTGTTGAAGAACTATTTCCAAATGTCAGCAAATACGTTAATTCAAATGAAATTGTTTCTGGGTCAAGTTTGCAAGAAAATCCTTCAAATGAGGTAGTATTTTCCATTTTTCCTTTAATTACTATTATATTAGATACTTTGTATATGAGATACTTTAAGAAACCTATAACTCAGCTGAGGCTGACATCATCTACATGTGGAGTAAGTATCAGTTACAATTCCAAATAAAGGATATTAGGCTGCCACAGCCAAGACACTTCGTATCATCAGGACTTGGGGATATTAAACAACCAGAAGAAGCAGTATTATCCTACTTTGATCCAAAACTCAGTTTTTGTCTGTACATATAAATTGTGGTCACCAACCTCACTATATTATGATGAATATATGGAAGTGCTATGCTCCATTAATAAAAAAGACATAAAATTCATGACTCTAAGAGCCGTGGTGGTGGGAGTAGAGAGAGGGGATGAGCAGAAAAAGAGAGAAGAACAGAAAGAGAGAGGGGGAGAGAGAAAGGGCCAGAGAGAGGGGCAGTGGGGGCAGACAGACAGAGTAAGACAGAGAAAGAGGCAGTACTTTAGGGATATGTAGTGGTTCAGTGTAGCTATACCTTTTCAGTGTGACCTGGGGTAAGGGTGGGGATCCAGGTGGTGCAGAGAAAGCTGGAGATGAGATTATAAAGATAAACAAGGGCCAAGATCATAAAGGGTCTTGCAATCCATATGAAGGAGTTTGGATTTTTTTCCTGAGAGGAGCCAATAAAGAATTATGAACAGGAGATGATATCAGATGTTCTTGTAAAGAGTTTATTCTGGCTCCAGCAGTGGAGAACAGATTGTAAAAGGCTGAGACTAGAGGGAGTTAGAGGGATGATCTCCTGAGCGAGAGAGAGGGGGTGGGGGGAGAGGGAGGGAGGGAGGGAGGGAGAGAGAGAGGGAGAGAGGGAGAGAAAATGTAGGATAAGAGGCTTAAGGAAAGTAAAAACAGTTTGAAATAGGAGTTTGGGGGAATGGAAGAACTAGGGAACACAAGATTATAGCACATTGTTGAGAGCCCAGTTGAAACTGAAAACTATTACTTTTTAAAAAGAATCTTTACTGACATATAATTGACATGCAGTGAACTGCGCATATTTAAAGTATAAAATTTGAAAGTTTTCATGTATATATGCACCTCTGAAACCACCACCACAATCAAGGTAGTGAAAATGTAACCAGGTGAGGGCTTGTTCTGCTCACCACAACCTTGAAGCCAGTCAATTGCAAGACGAGTCAGTGGTTGAGAGAGAGATTTATTCAATTAGCCAGTAAAATCAGAAGATGGTAGACTCATGTCCCAAAGACCATGTTAAACAAGCACAAAGTTTAAGCAGTTTTATAGGGCTAGTGGGCTATGAAGTAGGGGCTCAGGAATGTTGACCATCTGACATCAGCGACTGGAGACACCACACCAGATCTTTCAGTTGTCATCCATGATGGATGTTCAGCATAGATATTCTTCTCTGAGGAGCTCATCATATTCCTAAGAAACTCAAAAGAACAAAGTTATCATCTATCACTGTAAGGAGGTACATGTATCAGCCAGGAGCGAGCATGTTTCATGGAGGGTAGCTATTTATTTCCTAGGCTACATGCAAGGTAAAACATATACAGTGTAGGCAAATTAGTCAGAGGTGATTCTGAGTTACAATATGGCTTCCCTCATGTCAACCTTGTCCTAAGCCAGTATCAAAAATATCTATCACCAGGGGCCGGCCTGGTGGCACAAGCGGTTAAGTGCACGCGCTCCACGGCAGCGCCCCGGGGTTCACTGGTTTGGATCCCGGTAGTGCACCAACACACTGCTTGTCAAGCCATGCTGTGGTGGCGTCCCATATAAAGTGGAGGAAGATGGGCACAGATCTTAGCCCAGGCCAGTCTTCCTCAGCAAAAAGAGGAGGATTGGCAGATGTTAGCTCAGAGCTGATCTTCCTCACAAAAAAAAAAAAATCCATCACCAAAAGTTTCCTCCTACCATTTTATAATTTCTTCCTTCCTGCCCCTGCTCCCCAAGCAACTACTGATCTAGTTACTGTCATTATAGATTGGGTTACATTTTCTTGAGTTTTGGAGTCATGAGAGACAGAGAGATTTTTTTGGTCTGGCTTCTTTCATTTGGCATAATTTTTCTGAGATTCATTTATGGTGCTGAGTATATCAATAGTTTGTTCCTTTTTATTGCTAAATAGTATTTAATTGTATGGTACACCAAAATTTATTTATCCTTTCACCTGTTTTTGGACATTTGGGTTGTTTAGTTGCTAGGAACATTCATGTACAAGTATTTGTATTGACAAAGACTCTCTCCTTGATCAAACTTCAGTTAGGCTTCTTTGAGCCCTCTTCTCAAGTAGGCCTTGAACTGGGGCTTCTGTGTCCATCCTTGCTGAGTCCAGTTTTAGCAAGAATTCTGCAAAGTCAGTTTAGAGAGAGTTGCCCAGCCTGATATCTTATTACTGTGGCCTGCCTTTACCACCCTGGCCTATTAGGTCTAATTAGGTTCCTAGACCCAATTTCAACATGTGTGTGTGGAAGGGGGGATTTCTCCACATCTCTAACAAGCAATGCTCCAGAGACCAGCTGGGTGTCCTAGAATTCAACTCAATTCTGACACTGTCTACCCAGAGATGGTATCAGATTCCACAGGTAAAGGGCTCAGTCCCACAAGACCACCCTTCACTTCAGACAACAATCGCAAGCCCAGGTTGTTACCTGTTCTTCTGACCAACTGGCTACAGACTGGAGACTCCCACGATCCCCTCCTTGGGTTCCATTAGTTTGCTAGAGCAGCTCACAGAACCCAGAGAAACATTTTGCTTACTAGATTACTGGTTTATTATAAAAGGATATAACAGGAACAGCCAGATGGATGAGATGCACAAGGCAAGCCGTGGGGAAAGGGCACAGAGCTGCCAAACTTTCTCCCAGGATGTGACTCTCCCCAAATCTCCACATCTTCACCAACCCAGAAGCTCTTCAAACCCTATCCTTTTGAGTTTTGTGTGTGTGTGTGAGGAAGATCATCCCTGAGCTAACATCCAGGCCAATCCTCCTCTTTTTTTGCTGAGGAAGACTGGCCCTGAGCTAACATCCATGCCCATCTTCCTCCACTTTGTGTGGGACGCCGCCACAGCATGGCCTGACAAGCGGTGTGTTGGTGCGCGCCTGGGATCCGAACCCAGGCTGCCAGCAGCAGAGTGCATGCACCTAACCACTACACCACGGGGCCAGCCCCTCCTTTTGAGTTTTTATGGAAGCTTCATTAAATAGGCATGACTGATTAAATCATTGGCCATTGGCAATTGATTCAACCTCCAGTCCCTTTTCCTTCCCTGGAGGTCAGGGGTGGGCCTGAAAGTTCCAACCCTCTAATCACATGGTTGGTTCCCCTGGCAACCAGCCCCCATCCTTAGGTGCAGTCCAAAAATAACCTCATTAACATAGCAAAAGACACCTTCCTTGCCTTCATCACTTATGAAGTTCCAGAAGTTTTAGGAGCTCTGTGCCGGAAGCAGGGATGGAGAACAAATGTATATTTCTTATTATAAATCACAATATCACGGGTCAGTTTAGCAAGAATCCCCTTACCCTTGATGTCCCATCTTAGTAATGTCCTAACCACTGATGCCCTCACTTTGCTCATTGGCTATAAATTCACAGCTGTCTTTACTGTATTTGGAGTTGAGCCTCATCTCTCTCATCTGTTGCAATGGTCTTGAATAAAGTATTCCTTATTGTTTTAACAAGTATCACAATAATTTTTTCTTTAAAAGTATGGATGTATATTTCCTTTTCTCTTGGGTAAATACCTAGGAGTGGAAATTCCCACTGTTTTCCAAAGTGGTTATACCATTTTACGTTTATACCAGCAATGTTTGAGAGTTGTGCATTTTCTAAATTCAACACTTAGTATGGTCAGTCTTTTAATCTTAACCATTCTAATAGGTATGAAGTGATATCTTATTGTGGTTTAATTTGCATTTCCCTAATGGCTAATGATGTTGATCACATTTTCATGTGCTTCTTTGCCATCTGTATGTCTTCTTTGATGATATACCTGTTCAAATGTTTTGCCCATTTAAAAATTGGTTGATTTTCTTATTGTAGATTTTTGAGAGTTCTTTGTATGTTCTGGAGGCAAATCCTTTATCAGATATATTCTTTGAAAGATATTCTCCCAGTCTGCGCCTAATCTTTTCATCCACTCCACTGTCTTTTTGAAAAAATGAAAAAACAAACTTTTTTGTGGTACATTTTACATGTCATAAAATTCACCCATTTCAAGTTTACAATTCAATGATTTTTATTTTTATTTTTTTGGTGAGCAGGATTGGCTCTGAGCTAACATCTGTGCCAGTCTTCCTCTATTTTATATGTGGGATGCCGCCACAGCATGGCTGGATGAGTGATGTAGGTCAGTGGCCGGGATCTGAATCCATGAACCACTGAATCTGTGAATCTGGGCCACTGAAGCGGAGGATGCGAACTTAACCACTAAGCCACCGGGCCGGCCCCTCAATGATTTTTAGTAAATTTATGGAGTAGTGTAATCGTAGCCGTATATCAGTTTTAGCACATTTTCATCCCTCTAGTAAGATCCCTTATGCCCATTTACAATTAAGCCCTGCTCCCACCGCCAGCCCCAGGCAAATACGAATCTACTTTCTGTCTCTCGAGCTACCTTTTCTGGGCATTTCATATAAATTAAATCATATAATATGTAGTTTCTTGTGAAACTATCATTTGAAGAACATAAGTTTTTAACTTTGATGAAGTTCAACTTGTTGATTTCTTTTTATGGGGAGTGCCTTTGTTGTCATATCTAAGAAATATGGGTTTGTTTCTGGATTTTCTATACTGTTCCATTGATCTACTTGTCTATTTTTATGCTATTATCACACCGGTATTATTATTAATAATATGGCACTACCATAATTATTGAAATCAGATAGTGTTAGCTCTCTGACTTTGTTCTTCTTTTTCAATTGTTTTGGCTATTCTAGGTCCTTTGCATTTCTTTTTTTTTTCCCCAGTTATTTTATTGAGGTCACA